CTACTCTACTCTCTCTCTCTCTCTCTCTCTCTCTCTCTCTCTCTCTCTCTCTCTCTCTCTCTCTCTCTCTCTCTCTCTCTCTCTCTCTCTCTCTCTCTCTCTCTCTCTCTCTCTCTCTGTGCATGCATTCATGCACGTGCATGTACGTGTGTGTGGTTTGTGTGTGTGTGAGAAAGAGAGAGAGAGAGGCATACTTCTGGATAGAGAGTCAATATGAATTTTAAAGTTGAAGAAAGAAAAGCATTTTAGCTAAAATAAAATAGGGGTTTCCACATGCTAGGGATATTATATGGTAGAAAAGGAAAATAAAATCGAATGATCGACAAACAAACATTTAAATTTTGTTTGGACCACCTTTTTAATTCTCTTCTTCCTGTTTTGCACTTTGGTATTGATTTTATCCATATTGGAATTTGGTTTTGGGTTTATTTTTCGATTTGTCATCACGTTTACATGCATTTGATTTATCAATTCCTTTGGTTTAGAGAACTATGAATTGAGATTGGATTTTGCTTTTGTTATACCTTTTTTCCCCTCTTTCTTGAAATGCTCCTAATTTTTTGATTTTGATATTCCTCATCCATTTTTTTCTAAAATAGTTAACCCTATCAGTTGTTTCTTTTATTGTTTTCTTACCTTTTCTTTTTATGTCTTCTTAATCAGGGTTACATTATCGGTCCCCGTTCTATTTCCTCATTCATTACTTTCCAGAATAACGTGCATATGTGGCACCTGGATATCGTATAGCTTGTTTTCTTTTGAAATGTTGGCAATGCTTATTATCATTAAACTTAACCCAAATCAAAATGTCAAGTTAGTGGCAGAAACCTAAATATATTTAAAACAGTGGCAGAACTCTAAATATCGAATTGTTCCATGATAAAAACCCATTTTTAATTGGCAAATACCATACAGGAAATAACTACGAAATAGAACACAAAAACGAATGTCTTAATGGCATACCTAATATAAGTCTTCACAATAACTTTATCATGAACCAATGATAGAATAAGAACAATGCAGAACCTTAACACAATAACAAAAATATAGTGTCCATAATGTATTGATCAGTCACAAATGAATTTGTAAAATGTTGATCATCTGATCATACATATTTTGGAACATTATATCCCTTGATCCCTCCCACAATTTATGTGCCATGTGCCACAGAGCTATGAAGCCATGAGGCAGAAAATTCCCAAAAGCAACGTGCATCTAGGCAGTCCTTTTCTTTTTGTCATGAATAGACCTAGTAAGTCTTCTGACAACCTAACCAGGCACTTAATTTCACCATCAAATTTATGTTAAGACATCAAGTCATAAGCACAAAATTTTGCCAGGTATTAAGATAAACAGGAACTATAAAGCAAGGATCTATAACTGAAACCCTATGAATCAAACAATGTCCATTAGGTACCCAAAAAGAAGTTGGTGAAGGTTTATGTCATTGAGAACCCCATGGTCAAGGCTTCAAGGTCAGTTTTAGGTATGCAATAACTAAAAGAGTATCTTCTTTTGCAACATTGTTCTAAATTTCTGTTTTATTCGCATGAAACAGAAATATATTTAGAAGAGGAAGTAGGGAACCTCAACCTAACAAATATGTGCATATGTTTTCTGACAAAACCATAATCTTTTCCAAGTAACTGCTGTTGTCTTGATTTGTTTATAACACCCTCATGACCTGAACAATGAAATTACCTATTATAAAGAAATGATTAACATATCCTTTTCATTTTTGCAGGTGTATTATAAATATGCACATGAGTTCACAAATCCAATAAATCAAAGAATTATACCAAATCCAAACTCAAAGATTGGCACCAATCAAATAATAGTTCGAACCCAAGTATAAAACTTCAAATTCACAATATAATCGCAAATTCTCGAACCTCAAAACAGAATTTCTCCGCAGAAGAACACCAACAGAAAACTTAAGCATGATAAAGGTAATCATATAATGTAAACAGGGTACGTCTTAGTTGGGGATCATAAATCAATAACCTGAAGAGTCATAGCAATTCCTCAAACCATTGAATCATTCCAAACAAAAAAAGAGGGAGATAGCAACCACATCACATCAGTCAATAAGACCGCCAAAGATTCCCAGACTAACAAAAGGGGGGCTGGAGAAAAGAAAGAGAGCGAGAGAGGGAGATAGATCAAGAGGCTCATTAAAGAGAAGAAAATCCAGGCATATAATCCATACCTTGAATGAAGCCTTGAGCCTTCTCTCGGGGTGCTTATCAACCGGTAGTGGATCAACACTCATCAGAGCGAGAGCATCCTCAACGGAGTGAGCCTCTATCAAACTATCATCCCTATTTATGTTTTCAACCGAAACCATCCTCTCATACTCCTCCTCATCAGCCATCCGACTCTGCCTCTTCTTCGCTTCCTCAGCTCTCCGGTTTATCTCAGCCCTCTCTTGCACTCTCCTCCTCTCGAGCTCAACCTCAGTAACCTTTGGAACGGGGATCGAAACCCTATTCGCCTTCTTATCAGGCTTCTTACCAAGGCTCTCCATCTCTTTCTCTTCGAGCTCAGCTAACCTTCGAGCCTCTGCTTTCTTAGCAGCCACCTCCGCTCTCTTCTCCGCTTCTTCCTCTTTTTTCTTGGCAGCTCTGGATTTAGACCCCTCAGCTTCGCGCCAGTACTGTTCTTCTTTATCTCGAGCTTCTTTCACTTTCTTCTCAGCCTCTGTTGCGCTCTTTCTTGCCCTAGCGTCTTCAGCTTTGCTGTTTACACCCATTTTCTTAGGCATTTTTGTGATCGATTGCTCTAACCTCAATTGCAGAGCTATCTCGATGGCTTCTCAGGGACGGGTTGCAGATAACACAAGGTACAAAACCCTGGGAATTCTAACGGAAATAGAAAGGAAATTTTGCAGACAATTAAGATTAATATGGAGTGGTTGCAGAAGTGGTGCTTGAAAACCCTAGAAATTGTACATTGTTTGTGGTTATTGCAGGAGCGAAGGAAGGAGCGTGCAGAGATTAACACTCGCACTTTTTCTTCAATGGACGCCTGGAGCGTTTAGAGAGAGAGAGAGAGAGAGAAAGTGGAATTTGGGCGTCACCACAATTAAAATGTCCTGGTTATCTCATTAGGAAAAAGTAAGGCCGAATGCAGAAGGGCTATACTCGTTATTTTAAACCCAGCCGTAAAAATGCCCAGAGATTTTGTGCTCCCGCTTGAGCATACATTAATGTACAATAACTCCCTCGGGTAAAAGTGTAACTTTGGAGTTTTATTTTATCTGAAATTTTAGGATCCACCTAAGTATATTTAGATGAATATTTTGAAGAAAAAAAAATTGATCCCAAGTGCTTGAAAACCTAGGTCTTGACCTCTGAAAATTGGATGGTTCCTATTTAGTTTGGGACACTAATTTTTTGAGCCATTAGAGAGTCCTATTTATTTATTTGTTTCTTTTTCTCTTTGACAATGATTGTTAGGTTCTAAAACGCTATATCTCTAAAAAATTTGGGTCCAAAAAATATTCCTGACATGAATTTTACCCTTAGGGTGCAATGTACAGTATGCTCCCACTGGAGCAACAAATATTTCCACTTAAAAAATTCGAAGGCAAAAAATAGGGACAAAGGATATTCTAGATTCGGTTAAAGAAAATGAAGTAAATTATTTATATTTATAATGACGTAAAATAAAATTAAGGATTATTGTGACTTGTGAGAATGTAATAAAGTCGTTAAGCAATAATTTTATGTCACGAATGGGTAGTACTTATCCCACTTGACAAAATTTTTATACAATTTTTCATTACATAAAACAACATGATATGCTTCTCCACTGCTACAAGAAATATAAAATGATTTTGTTGAGATCATTGGATGAATAAATAACATGAATACTAAACACCAAATCACCATATTTTATAGTGTCGTTAGAAAAGAAAAATGTCAAAAAAAAAACAACTTACTATAGGATTGTCAACTAAAGAATGAAAAATCTAAACTTGCGAAACACCGAACCATCCAAATTGTTCGTAGTAAAAATCCAAAAAAAATAAACAATATTCAAACTTATGTTTACAGAGAAAATGTTATTCAGGCTTATTTGTACTAATCAACACAAAGTAGAAGGAAAAAAAAAGAAGCTAACAAATAATTGGTATAATGAATAGTAACCCGTTAGATCTTCATCGGATGATTCAAAATACATATCACTATTTGAATTTTAATATTTTTATCTAGAAATCGAATCGTGATGAAATGTTAGATATGTGTACTAAAAAATAGGCCGTATAAGTAAAAAATATAAAGTAAATATTTTTCAAAACATAAAATGACCAAAATATCTTTAAAAATGGTAGGGGTAATTTGATCATTTTAAATTCTATTTTTATATGATGCGCAATAGTATTAGGTATATACACCCAATATTTTATCTTAATAAAATATATAGAAAAAATTAAAATTCAAATAGTGATATATATTTTGAACCATCTAATGAAAATCTGATGACTAGAATTCCACGTATATTATTATTCATTATAGTTGTCAATATTTAGTAGCTTTACTCAAACTCAAATATTCAAACCTTATCCTTAATACCCACATATATGAATCTTTAGTTGTGATTAAATCACTCCTTCTTCCTCTTTGAAATGATGCTTCTAATTTAGTGAAAAATAATATTTCATTGATTTACACTTCTTGTAATTTTGAATTTTTGGGAAATGCTGTTTTTGTGAGTATTTTTTCCTAGGATACGTTGGTAACTAGTATTTTGGAATAAAATTTCATTTTGGAATATTTATGTTGGTTAAAACTTTGATGAAAGTTTTTGTCAAATCAAAATCTTGTTTTTAATCGTACTCTTAGTAAAGCTCATCTCCAAACCACAACTTAAAGATTTCAAATAAGGAAGTTTGAAAAATAAAGGCATTAAAATTACATTAGGGAAGAAATTTCTAAAAAAAATTGTTTTTTTATTATCTTTTGAAGTACTCTGAGTTTTTTTCTGACGATTTTTTTGAAAAAAATTGTATTTTAATAAGAGAAAACTTTAGATTTTTTAAATCCAATATATTGGTGGCTCTCAAACACACCTAAAACAAGGGTCAAGCATTGTTAAACTTGGGATTTGAAGTTTGAATCTTCAAAATGGGAAGTATGGGCAACTTTGTCATTAAAACAAAAAACAAAAACAAAAAAAAAGTTATGAAATTATTAACCTAGAAAGAGGATTTTTTTAAATAATGGTATTTTGGAAGGATATGGGCAAAATTACATAAAAAATGGAAAGTATCCTATTCATGCTGTTGACAGTGTAGTGGGTGCGTGCCCTTCCAACAATTTAGATTGAAAGCCTATAAATTAATTTTATTTTCATTTTAATTTAAAATTTTTTATAATTTTATGGGCTTTGAAAATAGCTACGATCATTTGAACAAATCGAAGGGTGTAGTGCACCCATCAAATTTTTACATCATGTGGAGGCTATAACATCCCCATATGACCTTATACGAATGTATAGAGCCAAGGTTCTAAACAATCAAAGCGCACCTTCAAATGGTGTTCATAAACGTGGTTTCACTATCGGAAATTTTTGTGATAGCTTTTAAATGAATTTTAGTCTTTAATTATAAAACGAGTAATGATCCTATGAGACCTTCCTATACCTGTGTATGTAGGACCCTAAAAGATCATCATTAAATTTGTCACAAATCTCTAGAAAAGTTATCATATGGTGTGAAACTTGAATTTTTCTAGATATCTAAGCCAAACTTAATAGTAATCCTTTGGAGTCCTACACACATGGGTGTGGGAGGATCTCATAAGATCATTACTCTTATAAAATTTAAAACTTAAAAAACAATGTAGATCAAGCATATTTATAGAAACTTGCAAATCTTGAAAATTGACGGCCCAAAAAAGTGTCACATGATGCATTATTTTCAAAACTTGAAATCCATTTTTTTAACATGTCCATGCATCTTGATATCGAGATGATCAATTCAAAGATATTTGGGCATCAAAACAACCCCTTTTAGTGAAATCTTTGAGGTGGGCTCTAACTTGATTGTCTCTTGGCTCTATATAAATTTTTTCCTATTGCAAAATGCTAGTGTTAGAGTGAGCGGCCCATGCCAAATTGTATGTTTTTGATGGATTTTTTTACCCGAAAACCCTTCAATTTTTTTGGTAACTCTCCAAATCCATCTCCCACCTACAAAAATGCACTTGGGCTCCTATAGTAAATTGAACTCTTTGTCTTTTGGTTTCAAAAACATCATCACTATCATCATAGCTTTTTTTTTAGTTTCGAAAGCATCATCTTTGAAAATAAATATTTTCTTTTTCCAAAATCTATACTCAGTTTTTTTTTTTTCTCCTTATCACATTTATTTTCCCAACTTTTGGTTTGAAAAGCTCCTAATTAGAAAGTGAGAAAAGAAAAAAGTTCTATTTTTTTCTCAATGCAATGGCAGATGTCGAGTTGTTTTAACTCCTAAACTCTTTGTTGTTCACATTTGATAGCCGAGGAACGCCCAAAATACAATTTGCAGCCAAACAGGCCATGAAAATTCTCAAATACGTGGGGACGAATGCCCCATGTGTACAATTAGGGCGGTGGTACTTCTTCCTCAACTGTTATTCCATGACATATTTGCAAGTTCCCTCAAGGGCTTGTTTGTTTTCTGGAAGATGCAATTTCCGTGTTTAATTGGATACCGCTGGATCCACTTCCCCTATATTTAAAATTAAAATGTAGATACCGCAGGTTCCAAGGGGGACCATAGAACTTGCAGTATCCACTTGTTTGGGAGACTCAGTTTCCAAAACTATGTTGCTTCCTCCAGAAATCAAACACACGCATTTGAGATGCCACTTCGGGACATGGCTGTTATTGCTTCTTTCTATTGAGATTTAGTCTTATAAAGCTATTGTTGTTTCTGATTAATGCATAAGATAACAAAGGAGGTGTTGTCTTATCAAGAAGAAGATTGCAAGAAATGCTTTAAGGGATTGTCTACAATAAGAATGTTAATTTTTTGTACACAAAGATCACAAACACCGTAAGCAATTAGATGTAAAATCGGATGGCTGAGGTGTGTAATTTCTACACAGAATCCGAAAAAATAGTTCTCAAACTTAGAGCACCGTCACAAGTACGTCCAAATTCCCTGATTTTACATCTGCTGGTCCTGAAGTAACCGTGACCTTCTTGACATTAAAGGTAAGCAGGTCTCATTATATATTTTTGCCCATGATTTAAACCTCTCCCCCTCTCTCTCTCCCCCCAGTGGACATGATCAAGGATTACTTATCTCATTGGTTGAGCACAATGGCCAGATGGGCACATTAAAGGATTCCATCTTTTCATGAAGCTTGTTTCCGGGATGTGAACTTAAGTCAAACAGAATTTGTTAATGCCCACATGTAATATTTCACTCATCTGTTTGCAATCTCTATATTGAGTATATTGATTTCTTCTGCACTTAAAAGCCGTCACTGATTTGGTTTGGAGCTTAAATTGCAACTTCAAATGACAAAATGCTATTCTGAGATAGTTCATCTAAGGTGGAACCCCATCGGATGTTACACTAAAGCTTTAAATCCTATGTGAAAATAATAAACTGAGTCTTTAACAATTGAGTCCATTTGCCCATTCAAACATTTTTTTTGCGCAAAAAGAATTAACTTGATGGTGAAGAAGATCAAGCCTAAGTATTTGTTCAGACTTCAGCCTAAAATTGCTGTTAAGAGAGAGCCACACGGGTTGAACTCGCACCCTGCAACCACTACTCCCTCACTAAATGGATGAATTCACCATAGTTTTATTTTATTTTATTTCTATTACCTTTTTCGATTCTGAGTTCCTGTTCTATAATGCAATAGTAAAGAAAGGCATTGTTTCTAACCTCTGGCCATTCAAGCATGTAATAGGTTCTGATGAGGGGGTCCATTCTCTTCAACATTCTTTCATGTAATAAGAGTTCCATCATGGTTGTTTCAGTTTGCTTTATGCTTGCGATTAAAACAATCCGAACACTTATTTGTTTCTGTGTTTGTTGAAATGCAGTGCCTGTAGAAGCCTACTTAGTTCGCTGCCATTGCCTACAAAACCCTGCTTAACTTGTTTTTTTACCATGCGTGCTTGCAATCGGTACACTAACTTGTTAATACAAGGAATGTTATGTTGTATAGAATGTCATATTTTATAGTTTTAGAAAACTCTCTACCTTATTGGGGTGAGACAGCAAAGCAATATGTGGCTTTCCTCTGCTCAAAATCCATTGTCTTTTTTAGACTTTGATAGGAGGAACGACACACCAGCATAAAGGTCGGAGGGAATGACTAGAATACTTTTTGAACCCAACTCCAGAATAATATACATTTCTTTTATGTTTGAATTTTTTTTGTATTTGTGGAGGCAACTACCTGCACCAGCAATGATAGGTAAAAACATGGCTATGCAAATCAGATTGTCCAGGTGGACTCGGTCTCGACTATATCAATCTGGATTCTGGATCGTACAAATTGGCGATCCAATCAAAAACTTAAAAAAGGTACAAAATGAAGGAAAACAAGAAGAAGTTGTATAGAGCATCCTCGCCATCTATAATATGCTATTTTGATGATCTAAACCATTAAGCAGACATATTATAGGAGTAAAATGTATTTTAGAAAGAATAGGGCTGATTGCTCTGGGAGGGAAACGGCCCAGTGAGTTACCAAATCTGATCCGTATTGGCAAGCGCCCAATTAGGATAAGTGATTTTTAAAACCATGGGTGAAAGTATCCATGCTACTGGAAATAAAAAACAAAGCTGTACAAAGCTCCCTTGAGGGAAGCCTAATTTTTTTGGCTGTATATGTCTCCCAACTCTTCGAGCTTAAATTTTGTACTATTTTCCTTTATTAATACGAATTAAACATTCTCAAAAAAAATAAAATTAAATTAAAAAAATAAAAACAATGCCAGCAATAACCTGTTGCTCATAAAATGCATCATCTAACAAGGATCATGATAATCATGAACTGTTCTCTAAAGCATGATCATCGTATACATGCAAACCTAAAGCATATAATACCAGATAGATCCTTCATATATTTGCATGAATAGAACATGAGTTGACCAAAACCCAGCCACTGTGCACTACATCCTTTTTCCTTTTCTGATTATTAGTGCAAGTCTCTTTAAAAGTTTTGGTACTCTTATTAGTCAATACCATGGCTAGGGCCTTCATTTTTTTCATCAGCCAAGCCTAAAGCCAGTGTCATATCTAATTACAAAACACCCCTCCCCCCACTCCAACAAAAAGAAAAAAAGAATTAACCAAAGATTGGTGAAACTGTAAATTCATTAGCTTGCATTTTATCATGTCAAAATTAGCAGGAACATTCAACTTCTAGGTTTCCAACTAACCTGATTGAGATAAAAAGTTCCACAAGAGAGATAAGAGACATGAGAGGCAACCACATCATATTCAAATAGGGGATCTAATTATGCAAAAGAAAGCAGAACTATGTGATAGATAAATGAGAGGAGAGGAGAAATTACAAGAGGGAGCCAAAAACATACACAAGAACAAGATAAATAACCCTTATTAAGGGAAGGCAAAAAAATGCATAGTTTGAAGGACATGCACCAGACGGAACATAACTGACCATTTCGTGGAAAGGCAAAAGATGCATGGTTTCAGCGATAATCGCACAATGAACGCACAGAGATCGTCCTAGTGCGTAAAGGCATAGAGGACTGTAGAAATGTACACCACTAGGGCAGTTGATACGAGCACCACGAGTGTCCACACTGCCTGAGCTGCAGGGTGGCTACCACATGTAAGCGTCCCGAGTCTGATCTGCACCACATTCACAATCGATAGCACCAAGAAAACACATCCAAGCACCGACCCAGCCGCCGAGCCAAGCATCCCTATCCTCAGCAACCGACCATTGATTCTAGCCCTAAAAATCTCATCTGCTTCATTACTATTGATCAAGTTGATTGCCAGCTTTAGCCCTTGGGCCACGAGACTAGAGAAAAGGAATGCCGCGAAGGCAACGACCTCAAAAACAACGACACGGCGTGCAACTTCGGGGCCAGCATCGCACTTGCCAGAGCCCTGCAGGCTACGCTGCCCAGGTGCAGTGATGGAGAGGCCGACAAAGACAGCAATGGTGAACAGGGAGTTGACATTCACAAGTCCATCCAGCGCAGTGACGTGTACGCTCGTTGTGGAGGAGGAGGGGATAACATAGTTCCTAGTGTGATGCTCCGCCTTATCTTCACGATATCTGGTTAGGCAAGAGTCATAACATATCAGAGCAATGTTCTTTAACTCCACTTGAACCAGTTACTCGCCCTGGCTGAGCCGAGAAGCTCAATTGCACATGTCAGAAAAAAATTTAAACAATAAATAAAAATAAAAATTTCTTAAGAATAATTAAAAATAGGAAAATGCAACATAATTAATAGAACTCATTGAGGTCCATGAAAGTCCAAAAAAGTACATAAAAGATGGATTGTTCAAAATTTTGATTTATACCTTGAAATATTCAGAAAAATAAGAAAATGAAAAAATAAAAATTAGAGCAAACTTCCCAAATCATCATACAAACCACATATGTTATCTAAAAATGTATAGATCATCTAATTAAGAACAAAAATAGCATTTTTATCTATTTCAAACAGGGCCAAGTTGGCCCCTGGACTTCGTTGGAACTCGCCACTGCAGAGTTCTGAAAAACTGCATCAGAGAAAGGTTAGAAACGATAGGAGCAAGGGGAGAGAGAGCTATGTCTGTGTGTGTAGATTCTTGAAAGGGGATCTTGGGTTTCTTAAATTCCAGTCGTGATGTCCCAATATTAAAAACTCTCTCTATCTCTCTCTCTCCCTCCCTCCCTCCCTCCTTCCCTCCCTCCCTCCCTCTTTCTCTCTCTCGTGCAGTTTCTTTTACCAGATAGAAGCCAGGTTCTTCACCAAGGGAAAATCATGGGTTTTCCAGAGCTCCAGCAATCCAAATTCTTTTCATGAGATAGAAACCGGGTTCTTCCTCAAAGGAAAATCATGGGTATTTCAGAGTTCCAGCAATAACAACCCAATAAACACAGGAAGGCCTAACAAATTAGCATGACACAGACTTGCAATAAAGAGCGCAGAGTACACATTCTTATTCTTAACAGTAGACATTGAACTAATTGGGGAGCTCAAACTTACTCTTCTTCCATGGAATGAGAGGTCCAAGGCCCTAAATTTCCTTGTTTTTACTGATATTCTCTTTGAATAGGAGAGACCCAAAACTTGCACCTCTTCAATGGCGGAAGCCCAATCCTTCTCCTCAAGCGTCTGGTTCGAAAGCTAATTTTTTGAGAGAAACACACTGAGCTGCCAAAGAAAAAACGGACCAATGAGAGGCGGTTCATGGCTTTTTGCAATCCAAAATGCCACGGTTCGTAGCGTAATAATACGGATGTGCCCCTGAGGTTTTATTCAAACGCGGCCCATTTTTGATATGGAACAATGATCTAAAACACATCCACGCGTCACCATACATTTTCTATTAAAATGTGGTTTTGTAGCTCAAGGTAATTAGGGTTGGGAATGGCCTGGATAATACAGTAACAAAATTCAAAGTAATCTACTTTGAATATTTAAAATTTATTTTTTATTAAACACATAAAGGATCTTTTTTTTCTATGCTATTTAGCTTCGGCGGGTCTCCGTCATTTCCCATCACAGCTTATCACTTTTTGTAGAAAGGCAAGCTTGGCAATAAATATATTTTTAAAATATAATTTGATTTTAATTTTTAATTTAACATAAGAATGCAATCTTATAATGTAGAACTACGGATGTACCTCAAAATCCATCGAAAAAAAGTAGTTTTAATGTTGAAAAACCTTTTGGTTAATCAACTCGACATCGAGATCTATGATTATGAAAAATAAAAAAGTTTTAAGTCTCATAAATAGTATATTTTACAATATATTATCTATACTGTCCATTTTCAAGATTTTCATATTTTTATAGTTCTACTTGATTTTAACTATTTTTAAAATTTAAATTTTTATAATTAAATATAAAAATAGATTTTGAGATAATCCTAAGAACATTTTGCATCAAAATTATATACCATGATAAAATTTAAAGGGGCACCTTACCTCTAGAGCTACAGATGCATCAGTATGCCAATTGCACCCTTTAAATAATGGGATATAATCTTTAACATGGAGATCATAAATATGAAAAAAATTTGAAAACTAAAAATAATAATTATATTAAGAGAGCATTTGAACCGTTAGTTACACTTGTTTTTAGATATACCACATATTTGCATCAATTTTTAAGATGGATGCTTTATACCTCTAGACCGCATATTGTAGAAATGCCATTAAGCCCGCATGAAATAATTTTCCAATTGTAATGATTAGATCATCTATAAAATTTTAGGTCCAAAATTCATCTATATGAAACATTTGCACTTAAGTAGTTTCAATGGCTGATGTGCTAAGACTTGTCAAAAAAATAAAGTAAAAAGTTTATTGAAGGCATCAATTTTATACTATCGAAGTAAGGTACATCTAAAAAATCCTCTAAAAAAGAGTGTTCTGATATAGGAAAAATCTCCAATGGAACATCTTTGTTTCGAGATGTATGGATATGGAAAAAACAAAAAGCATTTCGAAAGTTAAAAAGGTACATTTGGTAACAAAATCTATTTTTGTAAATGTATTTTGTGACAAATTATTTAGGTCATCTATTTCAAGATTTTCAAATGCTTATAGATCTACTCGATTTATACCATTTTTTTAAATTTAAAATTTTTAACAGGGTATACAAATAAATTTTCAAGCGTTCGTAAGCTTTCTTATGCTCCAAGTAAAATGTAAAATGGAGATTGCCTTACTTCTACCATATAAAAAGGGAAAGCTTTCGATGTTCCCACTGTACCATATAAGTTTTATGTTCCTCCTTATCCAACCGTCCATTTTTTAATGGAGGGGTAAGATTGCCCTAATCACAATGTCACATTTATACACTGTTTTATTTTTAATTTTTTTCTATAAATTGTTTGGATACCAAATTTTGGACGTCCATTCTTCTATTAAAATTGGGCTAACAAAAAATATTTTCAATAAAATAAAATGACCAAAATACCTCTGAAAGTTTCAAGGGGTATTTTGATCATTATTTTTTATCAAAAAATTATAGTTAATATTTTTTATAGGTGTGCCCCAATGAGAAGATATCACGTACCAAATTTATATTTAGAAAATTTGTATCAAAAAAACTAAAATAAAATACTTTAAGACGTCGGATCTAAGATCAAACGATGACCAACTCTCTTAATAAAAAATGGACAGTTGGATGGGAGGTAAAACATAGAACTTCTACGGTGTAAAAGGGGCATAGAAAGCTTTCCCATATAAAAAAGGGACCTCACCCAAAAATAAATCCGTCAGACAACAAAATTACTATTGACATGCCCACGAAAAAACAAGTCTTTGTGGAGAACTTCCTTGTAAAAAGAAAAAATTTATACCAGACATTAATCTTATATTGACATAAAAGTAAGGTATACCTTAAAATCATGAAGCAAATTACTATATTTGTTAGCTTTCCTAATAGTTTATACTAGAAAAGGATTGTCTATCGTTTATCTAAAAATCAAGGGTCAGCATTTCATCATAGTAAGTCTTTGTACAAGTGTTTTAAAAAATGATTTGGTGGAGCGGATCAAATCCACTACGGGTCCCTACTGAAATTATTTGGATGGGCGATCATGATCGTTTGGATCACTGATCTAATAATTTTGTAAAACATTTAGGCTAATATCCCTCATTTCTATCGGAATTTGAAATCCATCCCTCAATATAGTAATTTACGCTCATGTCTACTTTATTGGATTTTTTTCTTCCAACATATACCATCGGTTTGGACTTTGAAAATATGAACCAAAACTATAAACATATATGTTCAAAAATCAAAATTCCAAAACCATTTTTTTGTTAACCTACCAATTCGGATTTTCAAAATTCAAAGGGATTAAGTTAAGTAGGTGAGAATATGGGTTCAGATTTTAAAAATCCAAATCCAAAGCTCAAGAAATTGTTTCAGATTTTGAAAATCCAAATTGGCAAGGCAGGAATTTTAATTTCCAAACCGATATATCAATAGTTTTGGTTCAGATTTTGAAAGTCTGAATGATGGCAGATTGGTAGAGGAAACAAAAAAAAAAAAGAAAAAAGAAATAAAAAAAAGAAAAAGAAAAGAGATGAGCATAACTACAATATAGGCTTATAGATTTTTAATTTTTTTTAAAAAGGATATTGGCATAAATTTTGTGAAATAATTAATTGAAATAAGAAAAAGTGAAAATGAGAGAAAAAAAAAGAAAAATCATTTCATGCGAGCTGGACTGCATTTCTACATTTGCAGTCCAAAAAATGTAAAGCATCCATTTTAAAGATGGATACAAGTAGGTGTTCCATCTAAAAACAACGGAAACTAACTGTCAAATTGTTTTCTTACTAAAATTATTATTTCTAATTTTAAAAATTTATTTATTTATTCATATTCATGATCTCCATGTTAGATATCACATGTTTTTAAAAATTAAACGTTAAAATCTATCTCAAAATATATTTATTAAGAGGACAGGGTCAAAAAAAAAAAAACGCCACATGGGGGAGTAAGGTCGTGTCATGGAGTACAATTATCTAATAGCTTGAGCGACTATTGATGGCACTATTGAAATTATGAGGTGCAAAAGGTGGCAGTCTTGGGTTTCCTCCTTCACTTTTTGAATGTTCGCTTTTTCTAATTCAAAAAATCGTGGCAAGGCATAGATTCCTTAACAAAGCAAACTCTACAATTGTAGTAGCTTGAGCGCCTTTGAGGGGACGGCGTGGATCTCTTATCTACCCTTTGATGAACGGTTATGAGCAAGTCAGGTAAAAGTTGTGTTTCCAAAGATCGTAGCCGTCCATGTGGAACGCAGTCTCTCTCTCATGACATCAGAAAGCAATAAACAAACTCAATGTTGTTAAGAGTCTTTTTCGGCTTAGTTAGTAAAATAAAGCAAATCTTTGTTTCGGCCAATGAGGGAAGCGTTTGGTTTTTTATTTTTAATTAAATATAAATAAATAATTTATTTATATTAAAAATATATAAAATAAAAAAAATAAAAAATATTTGTTTGCTTTGGCAAAATCGACTCAAAGCTTATCCAAACGACCGCACTAGGCTTCATTTCGCTTCGATTTAAGCTTAAAATTCAAAGGCCTTTGACCAATGCAACGCGAATTTGAGAGTAGAGAAGGAGATTTATACTTGGTTAAGGAGAGAGATATTGATTCATACTTTGTTAGCGCTCTAACATAGCCCACGTGCCTTTCAATTCCTTATAATTGAAGAGCAAAGTTGAAAAATACTACCCTTTGAATACCCAAATTGAAGAGCTTCACTCCTAAAAAAACTAAATCGGATGACATTAAAGTGGATAAATATCAGTGGATCAATTCCTTATATTTGAAGAGCAAGTTGAAAAATACTACCCTTTAAATGCCCAAATTGAAAAGCTTCACTCCTACAAATAAACTAAGTCGAATGACATTAAGGTGAATAAATATCAATGGATTATACTTGTTGTTATGGAATACAAGGATGATAAATTATCATCTAATTAATTGGAGTCGGTTATACGAATCGTAGTCTGTCATTCTGCTCTATTAAGAGTCATATCCTTAGTGAGACTATAAATCTCTATATTTTTTCGTACTACTTCCAACCACATCTTTTTTGAACCTACAATAATGATATAAATAAATTAAAAAATAAAAATAAAGTGAAAAAATGAAAGTTCACAAATAAATTGCCATACAAGACTATATTGAAAAAAATATAGTTTGTTTTGCCTTCTTCCTTCTTTTATTTTCTTTTCTTTTTTATCATTTTTACCCTCAAATTCCATCTGGTTCAAATGCCCAAATGTCTCCTATATAAAAAGACTTGGTTTGGATATTGGATGCATTGACCCACTCTTTTTTTTTTAGCGTGGACCCACTCTTTTTTATTTGGAATATAAAGAGACTATTTGATTTTACTATAAAGATGTCACAATTGTTCGTCTGTTAAAATTTAAATTGGGTGGTTGTAAGTGTGTCATTGCCCTATAGAATGCCACACTTACTCCAACAAACACGGAAATGGTTTCTATTGGAATGTTGAATTCCCTCGTGCAAAAAGTCTAGAAAATCAAACTCTTTCTTAGGTTGCAAGATTCCATTTTGTCCTCTTATTCGTTTGGAGGTTTCCCTACCTAATTAGAATAAATAGGCAAAATGTTTGATTAGCTTGGAGATAGACAAATTTATATAAAATTTTAACTTTTCTTGTAGAAGTAAAGTTGCAATTTTTTATATGGTCTATTTTAGTTAGACAACCTACAATTAACATATCTTTTAATTTATTGTCAAGAAGTAGTGTACCTTTTAAGCAATATCAAATCTACACGATCAAAATAAAATGTATTTTTTTTTTAATATCTGAATGGAATGTGATCACTATTTCTTCTCAGTCGTCGGGAGGGTCAAGGGCACGACCAGGGGGATAGGG